CTTACTAAAGATAGCACACTGACACACACACAAACTCACTACACACATCTCACTATAGAACGCTCACACTGACATACACAAGAAGCTCACTACACAAGCTCACAGCTCACTACAGACAGCTGTCTGACATGCACACAATGTCACTACACACAAGATCACTGGCATGCTCACCATCTCACTCACAGGCATACAAGTTGCCTACTGAAAAATCACAAAACACAGCACACTGCAGTAATCTCACTACAAGCTCGCCCACAAACATTTAAGCTCAGTATGGAAAAATCACTACATACCACTAGTATAACCGCCCACACCGGACATCCGGCCGAACTCCGACACAGATAGAAGTCCAGAAAATAGGGGGCTACCAATGTCCAGAGAATGTGCCAATGCCCGGATAGAACGAAACGGACCATGAGATAGGGATCCCCATAGCGGAAGGAAATAAACCTAACCTCTATAGTTAAAAGAGCGCCCCATGACTCCAGAGAACGCAAAAACGAAGGGGAACAGGGAAAAGGTGGAGGAGGAGGAGATGGGGAGAGGAGGTAGAGAAGGGAGAGAGACAGAGAAGGAAAGGGTACAGGAGAAGAAGGATGAGAAGAGGGGAACTACAGGATGGAGGGGAAGGGGGGGAAGGAAAGGAGAGAGGAAGGGAAAGGGAACGAAGGAGATAGGGAACCTATAGACACATGAGATTAATAAAGCCTATAAGTATCTAGGAATACTGGGTAAATGTTAAATACTTAACTAATTGTCACTGTAAGTGAGACCTGCGTGTCTCCCGATCCACTAATGCATGTTTGATTGTATATGCTACAGCAAATCTACACAAATAAACTTATATTTACAAAAAAAAAAAAAAATCACTACATACCGCTCACTACGCACACCAAGCTTACTAACCTTTACAAGCTCACTACAAACCTCTAACTACACACAAAATCTCACAGCTCACTAAAGATAGCACACTGACACACACACAAGCTCACTACAGAACACCCACTGACAGATACACAAGCTCATTACACACAAGCTCTCTGACATACACACACACAAGATCACAAGTTCACACTGCTCACAACAGACAGCTCACTGATATGCACACAATATCACTACACACAAGCTCCCTGACACACACACACACACACTGTAGCAGATGGCACTGGGCTGTCCTGGAAATTTCATGTGTAATAATGTATTCGCTTAAATTGCAGTGTTATATGTATAAAGTAGGTTGTTTTCGTCTGATTGTTCGGTAGAATTATTCTAGCAACTATGGGAATGAAACTACCGAACAGTCAGACCTCCCCAGTGTGCAGTGTGCCTTCAATTACCAGTTGCAACAATGTTGCGAACTGGTAATTGACAAGCTGTGCAGTGGGTCCTTTGTTCTCGGGGTGGCCGCCATTCGGGAAACGAACACTTTAAAACTCCCGAACAGCTGTGTTTTGCCATCGAGAGTCTGGAACCCAAATCGGACACTCGGCTAGGCAAACACCGCTGAGACCTCCATACGCACGATACGTTCGCTTCCAAACTACCGAATGGCCCCTCGTTCGGTAGAAAGAAACAACCGAACGAGGGGATTCATGCGAACCCTACCTGATCTCTGTAACCTTAGCCTTTCGTGCAGTTTATTCCCTTATACTGTGACCGACCGCAGGGCCCCATCGCATGGAACCCAATTTGGCTGTTCTCTCCAGCGCAGTCTGTCTTTTCATTACCTCCACAAATTTCCCAAACCCCTGGTCCGATCTGGGTGATTTTTGGATATGTTGCTCACCCAGATCAGGGCTACTAGGGGATGTGCCATTTAAAGGGGTACCCTTAGGTTTAGGGGTACATCCAGAAACTTGGGGAATTTGTGTACTGTATAAGGGGATTATGAGTCAGGCTGAGGGGAGGAGATGTGTGGGAGGTTACCGGGATATGATTGGACACTGTACTAATTATTGGAAATCCCTCCCTTGCATGCTTTAAAAGGCCACTGTGGAAATAAAAGTTTAGTTCTGCTGCTTATGCTGTGTGTTGTCCAGTTATTCGGATTGCTGTTGGGATATTGCTATATTGTTTTACCTGCTGGAAACCTTGCTTTATGGATTTACAACTACTTGTTCCTGAGCCTCACTGGGATCTTAAGCGGAGATAACTCGTGAAATACTAGATCTCCACTACACACACACACACTCACTAAACACAATCTCACTGACACACACATAGAAACATAGAATGTGGCGGCAGATAAGAACCATTCGGCCCATCTAGTCTGCCCAATTTTCTAAATACTTTCATTAGTCCCTGGCCTTATCTTAGTTAGAATAGCCTTATGCCTATCCTACGCATACTTAAACTCCTTTACTATGTTAACCTCTACCACTTCAGCTGGAAGGTTATTCCATGCATCCACTACCCTCTCCAGTAAAGTAATACTTCCTGATATTACTTTTAAACCTTTGCTCCTCTAATTTAAGACTATGTCCTCTTGTTGTGGCAGTTTTTCGTCTTTTTAATATAGTCTCCCTCTTTACTGTGTTGATTCCCTCTATGTATTTAAATGTTTCTATCAGTCTCGAATTTCCTCCAAGCTATACATGTTAAGTTCATTTAACCTTTCCTTGTACGTTTCATCCTGCAATCATAAACCAGTTTAGTAGCCCTTCTCTGAACTCTCTCTAAAGTATCAATGTCCATCTGGATAAAAGCTGTGTAAGCTGGGATACTGTTCTCGATTATTTTTATCATTTGAAATCATTGCCATTTCCGTACTGTTCCAGAGCACAGCATGACAGCGTGTATCTCTAATTCAGTCAACTGTCATTTTCTATCCAGGTTTCCATTCAGTGATACTATTTTCTATCATCTGTAGCCATTTGAATTTATATGCTATTCCAGATTTCAGTATCATAGCATATAATCCAGTCTAATCGACATTACTTACCTATCAGTGATTATTTCATATGCCAGTGTAGGCACAGCAATATTCCAGGTTTCAGTATCACAGCATGTATTCCTAACTCAGTCTAATCGTTACTACTTACCTGGCAGTGAATATTTGATATGCCAGTGTAGGCATGTTGATAATAGGTACTGATAGCATCAACCCAGGATTGTATGGAGTAATATAATTGATGCAATATAAGGGCGACTAGACCCTTGTGGACCATTCTGGGACAACAGGTTTCTCCCTGCTTTAATTTCACCCCTGTTTCCAAGTACGGAGGTTAACTGTCAGCATATTTCAAGTTAACTGCTACTTGTATTCTGACAGCTCATGTATACTGTAACAATTATTTTCAGCATAAATTACTGATTTATTGATACTTCGTATCTTCCATCAGCTTTAGTTACACAATGTTAACTGTACTTTCACTGTATTCTTGGTACTATCTTCAATGACGGCCAAAATCCATATACTGTTTATTGAACTACTTAATGTTCGCTTATGCCCAGTATAAAGTTGTATCTTTATACTGATTACCTAGGCATTTTGAATCAGGTACTATTTAGTATTTCTACTCCACATATTCAACATATAGGATTTATATGCTGTATATCCTATGTTGTGTCATTTATTAGTACAAATTCTATACTCCCCCGATAGTATTCGGTATTTATCAGACACAGCCTCCCGGCTAGCACAGACGTGTGCTTCAGCTCATGATTTATATACCGTGTGACTTCAGAGTCTTCTTATCTTGAGTTATCAAGCTCTGCATCTAATTTATTTAATCTTTAATTCATTTTAGGTTTTCACTATTTATTTTGTGTGTAGCACTTTGGGTGATTGCTATTTTTTTGCAATTTTTATATTATATTTAACAAATAAATAATTTTTTGTTTTCAAGTCCCTCATTGGTACTTTAGATTTCTACATTTATTGTATAAACTTGTAGTACTTCACAGTCCAATTGTTTTCCCAGTACCTTTTTACTGGTACACTACCTTCATACAATTTTACCTATATATATATATAAAGATCGAAAAAGTTGACATTGGTTTGGCAGATCTCACTTGTTAGGGTAATTCCCCAATTATTCTCGTTAAAAAGTGTGTGAGAGAGGATTCACTTCCCCTTCAGGTAAAAAAATATATTGTCGATGTAACTACAATAGAGCACCAGGTTCGCAGCCCACTCACTACTCCCATAGATAGTTCCCAATAGAACATAAATAGATTAGCGTAACTGGGCACGAACCTGGTGCACATCATCGTACCACAAATCTGGAGGGAAAAATTATCATCAAACCAAACATAATTGTTGGTTAGGATCCAATGGATACCCTCCAAATATAAAATCTATTTATTTTAAAGAATTCTGCCAACATCAAATAAAATGTTATTTTAAAGAATTTCCCCAACCCCAAATTGATTTTATTTTGGAAGGTAACCATTGGATACCAACCAATTATTTTTGGTTTGAGGAGAATTTAACTTTTTTGAACAAGAATAATTGGGGAATTACCCTATTAAGTGAGATCAGCCAAACCAATATCAACTTTCTCGATCTTTATATATATATATATAGAAGAATATATAGGAAGGAATGGTTCATATAGTCCGGGAAGACGTGCATTCCCTCACATGTAGAGTCAAGCTGACGGAGGAAGAGGTCTCAGGCCTACTCACCAGACAAGCAGCTAAACAAGAAGCTCAGGCCACAACTCTCCAGTCCCAAGAAAGTCTGGCAGCGAAGATGGCAGACCTGCAGGACAGTAGCCGACGCAATAACATCAAGCTGAGGGGAGTGCCAGAAGAGGTGGCCCCGGTGGAGCTTCCCCTAATATCTATACCACCTGTTCTACCACCTGCTCCCACCTAAACGAGCTGCTACCGCCTACCCAAACCATCAAATGGCCAGGAAAAATCCTCAGGGGATCTCATAGTCCAATTCATGTCCTTTCTGGACAAAATGGCAATACTGGCTGCAGTACGGGACTCATCAGCCTGAGAATTTGAATCGCACACACTCACTTTCTACTCCGATCTATCTATTACAGAGAAATGGCATCCCCTACAGATGGGGCAATCCCCACTCACTTCAAGCCACCAAAGATGGAAAGCTGCACCGCATCACCGATGCTGCTGAATTTCAAACCTTACTGCACGCACTGGGCCTCTCCCTGATGGACCACCCGAAACTGACTCCCATCACAAGCACACTGTTGGAATGTGGAGAAGATACAACCCTTCATCCCTATCAAGGACCGGCAGTGAGGAGCTACAATGGCCCCAACTGGCTAAAACTGTACATACTTTCTTTGACATTGAATTTATTTTTTTCCTTTTTTCCTTATGCTATAAGGGCCACCACACTCAACCACATGGACCTTCTTTTTGCCTTCGACATAGTGCCTTACAAGCATGAAACACTCCGATGAACGTCATATGGGGAAGGCTACCAAAAGTTGCAAGGTTCCACTGTATTATAATTGACAGTCACTGTATATAACATGATTAGCGTATACCATAACCACTGCCACAGAATGGCTTACTTAACACCCCCCCCCACCAGAACAGCGGTTAACCCAAAACGCAGCTGTGAGCACCAAATTAATAAAACAGGCCACAAAGCTCCAACTAGTTGTTTCACTACAGCATTTCACCAACCCCAATGCACAGCATTTTAACACATTTTAACCCCTAAGCTTTCACTGGGACTTCCACAAGTCGAGCCCCAACCGCCACCTACAATCTGCTCAGACATGAGCGAAAAAATAAAAAGGCCTACTTAACTATGCACTGCTAATGTTAACGAGAGGTTAATACATAACTAAAGGTGACCACTGACCACCACCTCTTTTGCTTCTAATATAAGCCGATAGGCACTATTCCTGCAGCTACCCAAGTTAATAGTTGTACTTCCGAGACCATAGCCTGTAAATCTCAATGCTCTTGGATAGCGCTACCTCCTAACCAGCCTCTACGAACCTGCAGTACTTTCGCAGAGCCACACTATGAACCTGGCGGGCAATCCCAGCTAGGCTAACCCCCGGTAGGCTCAGTACGCTAATATACGTTACCTTATTATACACTGCCATAGCCCACAGCACACAAGAATGCTATACTCACCATATATGGCTTTCCTTTTTTGTTGTTTGACATAATCCATGTTCAACATATTTAATTTAATTCACAAATTGACGTATTGTTCTTATTTTTATTATATAAAAAGTGGTTTTGTGGCATTTCCTGCTATTACTACTCTTAAGTGTTGCTAAAATACCCAGACAAATGCCACTGTATTTCTGTATGACATGCCAAGCACATCTAAAATAAAGAATAAAAAAAAAAGTCCCTATATTAAAAAGATTTTTTTAACAAATACTGGCCAATTCTAAAAAGAGATGTTCACCTTAACTCCATACTCCCGGATAAACCAACCATAATTTATAGGGGGGCTCCAAGTCTTAAAAACAATCTAGTGCATAGCCATTTAAACCCAAAACCAATTCAAAAGAACTTCTTTGGAGAAAAAACAGTTTTTTTATGGATATGGTATGTGGCGCATGCACTAACACGAAAAGTAAAAAAGAGTTTTAAGAATTCAGTCACCCAAAAATAGAGGACACTTTCCCAATAAAGGATATGCTTACTTGTCCTACTAATAGAGTAATATATATAATAGTGTGTACATCTGGACTTATTTTTGTAGGACGAACAACCAGAAGCCTACAGGTTAGGTTACAAGAACATATCTGGAACATAAAAATGGATTTGTAAAGCATAGTCTATCATATCATTTTAATATGAAGCACAATATGGATCCCAGCCAATTAACTTTTTTGGGGATACAAAGGATTAATATTAATTGGAGGGTAGAGGATCTAACACAAGCAATGGGTAAAGCCGAAATGAGATGGATTTTCAACTTAAATTCCCTCCTACCTTTTGGACTAAATAGTGACTTTGAATTATACCATTTTTTATGAAATTTTTTTCTATAAGGGTTTTTTAATAAAACAATAGGATACGAAATATGGGCTGCTTTTATATCAGTATATTTACATTACGCTCTTTTGATATAGGGGTGAATAGATATTTTTAGTCTGTTTTTTAACTTTTGTTGGCTTTTTCCTATTGAGGGTGTGTCATTTTAAGAATATATGAGTTTTTTATATATTTATTATTCCCATATTTTTTTATTTTTTTTGGGGGGGGGATATATCATATTTTTTAATATATCATCTGTTCTTAAATATTTTAAATTATATGTACATTTGCACACATTTATTTATAGGAACATATGTTTAGAGAACGCAAGAACATATATATATTCTATTTATCACACCCTCAATATTTACTTACCATTTAAATGATCAATTATAACATTGTTTTTTTTCTGTTCTATAATCTATTTCATATTGTATATGCTCCCACGTATAGACCTCTGGGTACCGACCATGGACCCACTGAATGAGAACAAATGCCAGGATTTTGACTTACTAAAGGATATTAACGAGATATGGAATGACCACACTCAAGATGGCCGATTTGGAAGATGCACACAAGGAACTTGTTCATGGAAGTGTCGCTATCGTAAAGATGTCACTTCCGCCGGCATCATTGGAATCAGCTTAGCGAGTAAGGAGGACATCAGCTACACCCGCTATTGGTGTAGAACAGAAGGCGGGAACCAATGAGAACGATACCGGTGATTTAAAAGTTAAAACAAACCAGGAAGGAACTACTCTGATTGAAAGAGCCCAGGATTGGGCGAAACGCGTCTTAGAGAACCAGAACTATTTGTGGACAAGTATTTATATTCATTTTATTTGTTTTTAAGCAATAGTGTTTAATATATGTTTAAATTTGGATACTTAAGTCCCACTGGTTATTCCTTCCATCAACTTGGGAAAATAAGGTTTGCCCCCCCCCCCTTAAGTGGGCTACAAGCTTTTACACCTAGAGCCAGGTTTCTCTGTGGATCTAAACCAGGTGAGCAGTATATATACTATCTTTTTCTCTGGATTGCACTTTATACTACACCAGGAATTTCCTTTTCTCCCTGTGTTTTCTCCTGAGTATATTTACAAAGAAAAGAAGAGGGAGGGTGTCACCTTAATACACCAAGGTGTTTGTGATCTGAACCAGTCCATTTTTTGGCTCCACACTTGTGAGTTTGACCATTATATGTTTCTTCAACTCCCTTTTTTTTGTACTATCTACACTATATTTCTTTTTCTTCATTTATAGCTCAGCTATAGATTTTACCTCAGTGTATATATAGGGGTAAGTATACTCCTTTTTAAAAACTTTTTAGCACTCCACCAAAAAGGTTAGGTAGAGGGTTTCTATCTCCCAGCACCTTTCTTTATCCTCCATTCTAGGGTTTTATTATATCTAGAAGGAAATGGGGGAAACTAGATAAGAGTTTTTCACACTATAGGGTTAGGAATACATGTTAGTGTTTCTTTAACATTACATTAGCTACTTAAAAGGTTGCCAGTAAGAATATAATTAAACACATCCATTTTATCTAAAATTAGGTTATAATTGTAGATTATACTATCTTTAGTGTAACTATAATTTTAATTTTATTAATGACAGGAGGCGAATATTTGCTTAAGTCTCTCTTTACTAGAACTCCACACTGCACATTAACATAGAGATAAAAACACCAGAGACAAAAAAAAATCAGGAATCTATAAAAGGCTTCTCCCAAATAACTATTTCCTCTTTCACGCTGTGACAAATAAAGTACATGAACAATACACCACAAATACAATAACAGGAGAAACAAACATAACATAACGATGAATTCCATCCGAAATTGAAATTGTGGAACCAGTGGGTGAAGCCTTGACCTTTATCCTGTAGAGTAGTCGGATCTAAGAACTGTAGCCAAACCATTAAACTGAAACGAGATAAACAGAGTCTAAACACTTCTTAGAAAACATGAATCCCCATCGTAAAGACTGACAGTATAATATTCCAGATAGTGAAAAAACCTGAATCCCCATAATAAAATACTGGGCTATCCCTATCCCAGATAAACCCCAAATAACCAATCTAGCCCAGGAGACCAGGTGAACAACAAACAACAAGGGAGGAAGAAACTGGGAGGGAAATATTCGCCTCCTGTCATTAATAAAATTAAGATTATAGTTACACTAAAGCTAGTATAATCTACAATTTTATAGCATGACAGGAAGCTTCATATTTGCTATTTTAACGCTCGGGCAGCATAGACCAAAGAAAGACGATCCGCCGTACCAACCTAAACTCTGCGAAGATAGCTCCTCGTAACAAGCAGGAAAGCATACGATGTCTAGAAGAAAAAACGCCCGCCATGTCGGTACCTGAAGTCGCCGTGTTACGGACTGAAGTGAACCGAAAAAACCTATACGCCCCGCCAATGCCAACCACAACCAAGCGGTATATAAAGGGCGAGAAAAAGGGAAAAAACATTTAAACAAACGGTGACGTCGAACACCGCCTAAAGGTGGGAGCGCTACCAAAGTAAGAATATGACCCTCGGATGCGACTAAGGCTGATAGACAACTAAGGTCCGAACCGCCAAACCCATCTGAAAGAAAAACAAGGTATAATAATGGAAATAACTCCAGAATTAGTGAATGGGCAAAACCCGACAGAACCCACCATAGGAGCATGACAAAAACGCATGTACCCCCTGGGGAGATGAATACCCGTCCTCAGGAATCGTAAAGGGAATTCTAAGCAGAGCGAGGCCCGCCGACAGTCGTACGCGCTACCTAATCTAATTAATATGGCAGTCCTCAGTAATAAAGTGACCCAACAATACCCGAACCCTGTAAAAGCGGTAGCAAAATTAGGAGATCCGTACCAGACCCAACTATGTCAGGGTCACCATGCAGACCAAAGTCTCACAATCACCGAGATCAAATGAGCAAGGGAATCCAGGAACTAGGTTCGACTCTGCCGAAGCGGAGATCATTATTCCAAAGTACCAGCAGATCGAGGCACCTGTAGAAAGGTCCTGAGACCAAACAAATGGAGGAGACTCGTCAGCGTCTCCGTGTTGAACACTCTTGGAGGGAAGCGTCCATCGCTGAGCAAACGGGTCCGTCATCCAGCTGAACTGGTCGGGGCCTGATGGGTCCTCCTCCGTGGACTAAAGTCTTGATGCCGGGTCCTCCCAGAGAAACTATTCCATACGTCCGAGAACTCGGGCAGAGAAGAGCGTAGGAGGCACCCCCTTTTGTCCAATCTGCCCTCCAGGACTCCTTGA